AATGCGTCAGATATTAAAAATTAATTCAGATACTTTATAAATTATTGTATATGCTCCAAAGTCGAAATTGTATTTTTATTTTTTGGTTGAATCGTATATGTTTATGCATGGGCGGATAGGCCATTTTTGGACTACCGGGAAATTATTAAAAGGGGCCCCCTGGCCCACTTGAAAAAAAATAAGCTCACTTCTCTCGCAAGTACATTATTAGGTGAATTATATGAGCGCTACCATATCAAAAGAAAACAATGTAGGTACAACAAAACACATTTTTAAAATCATTTATTTATTTTTAATTTTAAATCAATAATATTTTACTAAATACTGGGCTCCTATTAATTTATTAATAATGTCTTCAGAATCAATTTTGTTGAGAATATCTTTTAGATTATTTACAGAAAATTTGTGAGTTATTACCCACCTTACAGTCCCAACTCACAACCGTGACCACTACCCGCCGCCAATCGATAAACGACATTGTAGTTGGTGGTAGAGAATAGCTTTTTAATTTTTTTACTGACTGCAGACTCACGATTTATTAAAAAAAAATTAAATTAACGGCCCAACGAAAGAGTTCGTTTTTTAAAAGAACTTGAACGTGGACGAGTTCCTTATTTAAGAACTGAACGTGAACGAGTTCATTTGTTTAGTAAAAGTACCGAACACTGATTATCACTGTAATGTTATAATTATTGTAGGTAGGTACACTTGAGCATCGGATTTTCTTAAATGCCATGAAGTCCTTCTTAGTTCTTGACCATTTAATTTTTCAACAATATTAGATCTTGGATACTTTTAAATTTTTTCTTAAAGTACTGCTGCTACCCGTATATTTTTTTTCTCTTATAGCTATTGTGTCTCCTGTTGTAAACTCTGACTTATCTTTTGTCTTAGTATCATAATATTTTATAATTCTCTTTATATTTATATTTTTCAGCCTTATCTTCACTTTTTTTCAATCACTCTACTTTCTAACAGTCTTTTATTCACTGGAAAATTAGTCCGTAAAAGTCTACTGATACCTAGTTCACTGCATCAAGGTGGGGTACCTATTCTTATACACTTATACTCCAATAATGTAATAATACAATTTCTCGACAGAAAATCAGCAATATGCATTTCCTTTCCAGGTAGATATTTTACCACTAAATCATATATTTAGTATCTTTAGTTTCATTTTATGTAATCTATAAGAAATAATTTTATCAAGATTATTATTCATAATTGAAGTTAAAGGAGAATGATCTGTCCACATAGTAGTATGGTAACCATTGACGATTGACACAATTGTGGAACTTGGTACAGGAAAATAATATACTTAGCATTTAGTTTTCTGTTTGGGGATACTGAGTTTCAGTTTCAGTCAAATTTCTTATTTTTTATCGAGGCGATTTTAAAAATCTATTATCCCAGCTCGGCTATCAATAAAAACAAAAAACGATATTTCTTATTTATATTTTTAATCGTGACACTAACAATTTTCGTAATATTAATTCACCTCGATAAAAACCTAGTAGGTAATCTTGTTAATCAATCCTAATCCGTTTTCAAAATTAAAATACGTCAAACCAAATTATTATAGTTTTGTCTACATTTTTAGTTTAACCTATAGATAAAAAATTATTACGATTATATTTATTCAGTCTATTGTTGTATGATCAGAATCTTCTAAGCTTTCAAATCATGTTTGTCTGAATATGGTCAGTTGTGTAGATTAATTCCTAGACGTATGGTATTTTTTTTAAATGGGTACCTATTTAATTTCAGGAAAGTAATTGGGTAGCCACTTTGCCCGACGAAGATTATTCTATTCACTGTAGACACTGTTGACTACGTAATAAAATGTTATTCAGACCAATTTTAGTAAAACAAATGGAAAAATACCTATTATAAAATAGGTAATTCTAGTCAAAGTATATAGGTCTAATAATGTCTTTACAGGGATTTTGTACATATGTTCTAAAATGTTTCAACTGCTATTGTGAACATATATATGAAGTCTTGTATTAAATAATCATGATTTTTTACCCAAAAAAAAAATTATCGACAATTATTGAAAACAAAACTAAAAAATTCAAAACTAACAATGTCCGAAAACAGCTCAAAAAGAGTCAAAATATTTTCAACATTTTATGGTTTTTCTTATACATATATAATATATCATTGAATTCTAATTTAACAACATCCATTACAGTAACCCACTTGTAACTTACTGTACAACAAAGCGACAACCACTTGCCCAAATTTTGTTTTTTTTGTTTTTGGGGCTTTTGAAAACTACTCACCTAATTTTAAATTTTGACCTTCCCAATGCTCCAACTATAGATTATAGATTTACAAGATACTGAAGGGGAAAATCGATGCATTATTTCGACTACTTATCATATACAAAGACACAACAAATATAAATTTTAAAATTAAAAAAAAAACACAAATCATTTTAAAATCCGCTCCGAATCTAAAATGGTTTAGTAGACCTATTATAGGTAACAAAATATTTATATTATTTTTAACCTATTTACGTGGAATATTGTTATATCAGGAGTCTTGTATTAAATAATCACGATTTTTTACCCAAAAAAAATTTTATTGACAATGACATTTTATAAATTTTGAACCACTAAATAATTATTACATTTTAAATTTGATAAATTTTGTCAAAATTCGAACTTTAGATGATTTTAAAAAAAAAGTGTTTATGTATTTTTAATATTTTTCAACTGCTAATATATATATTTTGTATAGAAAATGCTAATATTAACATTCAGTGAAATTTTCAAATATCTACAGTTATTCGTTTTTTGATTAGAACGTAATAAGAAAATCGTTACACAAGAAATCGAGTGAATATAAAATGTTGTAAAAATATGAATTTCAAACGCTTATAAAAATTTAATTTGAATTTCTTAGACATTTTTTTTTTGATAAAAATAGATAAACTTATGAGGAATCTTTTATTACATTTTCGAATCTAAGGTTTCAAAAGAAAATTTTTTATGAATTTCTAACTCAAAATAATTTGCACATTTTTGTGAATTTTACGTATTTTCTCAATATTTTAACTAAAAAAATTGAGACTACCTAATACCTATGGATTTTTAATATTTTTCATCTGTTTTTGAAACATTATATTATATTAAATTATATTTTTAAATTTGATAAATTTTGTCAAAATTCGAACTTTAAATGCATTTAAAAAAATAGTGTTCATGTATTTTTAATATTTTTCAACTGCTATTGTAACAATATACCAGGAGCCTCGCATTAAATTTTCCCTCATTTTTACCCATCAAATAAAATTGTATTGATATTTATAGAAAAAAACACTAAAAAAAATTGAAAACTGACAATATATGTAAAAAGCTCAAAAATAGTCAAATTATTATCAAAATTTTATCATGTGTATAAAATGTTAATATAAACATCCAGTGAAATTTTCAAATATTTCCAGTCAGTTGGTTTTTTAATTACAACGAAATAAGAAAATCGTTACATGAGAAATCGAGTGAATATAAAATGTTGTACAAATATAAATTTCAAACGCTCATAAAGATATAATTTGACTTTCTTATAGACATTTTTTTTTTTTGATAAAGGTAGACACTAGACGAACTTATGAGGAATCTTGTATTACATTTTAAAATCTAAGATTTAAAAAGAAATTTTTTTATGAATTTCTAACTCAGAATAATTTCGAAATTTTCGTCATTTTTAAGTATTTGGCAATATTTGAACTTTAAATGATTAAAACAAAAAAATGTGATTAAGGATTTTTAATATTTTTCATCTGCCTTTGAAACAATATACAAGGAGCCTTCTATTCAATTTTCAAGCATTTTTAACCAACAAATAACATTTTATTAATATTTATAGCAAAAAAACTAAAAAAAATGTATACTGAAAATGTCCGTAAACAGTTTAAAATAAGTCCAAAATATTTGGAAAATGTTATAGTTTATAGAAAATGTCAATATAAACATACAGTCAAAATTGCATGTACCTACAGTCATTTGTTTAAGAGGTGCACCAAAACCAAAATCGATTTTCTCAAAAACAGATTATTCCCGTTTTTCCTTAATTTTTCTTTTGTTTTTCAAATTTTTGTTGAACACTTTTTGCTTTTGAACACTACTAGGAAATTTTTACTTTTGAGCCCCCGAAGTACCAACTAGAATCTAGATTCACTTTCCTATCAGAAAAGATATTGTTGAGGAAAATCTATGTATTTTTACTGTCCTAAAAGGTGATGACAGACAAAAAAAAAACACACACACATCATTGTAAAATCAATACATTCATCGTTTCACTCAGAATCTAATATTATTAACTAATAACTAGTGGATTTCTAGTTATGTTTTAAATAATATATTATAATTTAGGTTTTGCTAGTCATATACAATATACGCATTCAATATATTCGTTTTAGATTCTGAGTGGAATGATGAATGTATTGATTTTACAATGATGAGTGTTTTATTTAATTTTTAATTTTTAATTTTTTGTCTGTCATCACCTTTTATGATTAATAAAAGATACAATTTAAGACTTGTGGAGGAAATTATTGTTTCATTGTTCTTTTTCTTAATTGTTTTTATTAACTTTTTTATAAGTAATATATCAAACATTGTTATACTGTTTAACTAGTATAATTAGAGGTACCAATATATTGTATATAATGCATTTTAACAAAACTGTAACTCTCTTTCATTAACACAAGCATAGCTTACCGTAAGTAGATAATTGAATGTACCTATGTATTACATAATGTAGCTTATGAAGATTAGGTTCTTAGGAACATAAAGAAAATAATCATATATATTAATATCATAAATTATAGGAAACTATATTTTCGCTCAATTTAGTTATTCTAACATGATCAATGATAGTATATCTAATATTGTAAACATAATAAAATGGTGACTCAATAATTTAAATTATACAGTTAAAAATGTATATTTCAAGTAAAAAAAAAAAATTCTCCAAGTGAAGAAACATGTATATTATTGAGTACATTTAAAATTGTTTTCATCACATGCATCATCTTCAATAGATTCTGATTGTATCATTTTGATAGTTGCAACAATAGGCACGGTTGTGAAATGGTCCTCAGATATAGGCATTGTATTTTTCAACTTATTCCTAAAGAAATAATTATATGATCAGATTAAAAATAGTCAAATATTATAAGCACTCTATAAGACTATAACATAGAAACTAACCAAATTATTTGATTAGCGACAGCAAAGACCTTGGGAAGGGGGAATCCATTAAATGTGCTAGCTACAGGTATTGTATAAGCTCCCATGTTTTCAAAAGTAATCCATTCATCCATTTTCAACAGTGGCATGTTCACAAGATCAACTACTTTATCTAAACCATCACAAGTAGGTCCCCAGATGGAACTCTCACAAATTGGACGACTTCTCGAATAATCCTGTAGGTAGTAATGTTAAAATAAGTTTATCATAAACCAAACAATAATCAATTAAATGTTACGCAACTCACATATAAAGATTTGGGCACAACAACTGAGTGATCATAAAGAATACTACTGAAAGAACCATACACTCCATCGTTGATGAAATACATGATATGACTTTCATCATTTGAACGTTTTTTAATAGAATGGATTTTTGTAGCGAGTGTAAATGCTGAAGCTACAAAATATCTACCAGGTTCTGCTATGATAGTCACTCCATTATTTGGAGGGAACCATTCATTAAGTGCATCATTCACTATATTTGCAATCTAAAATAAATGTTTGAAGTTTAATTTAAAACAAAAACATAAATTGCCTTTTTAACAAAATGCATACTTTGTTCAATGAAGTGTTTTTATTTCCAGGAAATCCTCCACCAATGTTCAACAAGTGCATATTCTTAAAACCCAACTCCTGAGCAAGTTGGAAAATACCTGCTGAAGCAGCAATAGCTCTTTGAAAGGCAGCTGGTTCATTGCATCCTGAACCAATATGAAAGCTCACTCCAACTACAGACAAACCTAAATCACCAGCCAATGCCATTAATGATGGTGCTTCGGTTAGAGGATCACACCCATATTTGATACCAAGTGGGCACTGTGCTTCAGTTGCATCACAACGAATTCGTATAACCAAGCTAAAAAAGAAACAAAATATTAGCATTGTGTCTTGGTTAGTTATTTATAGCTTACTTGCAAGATGGATGTAATGATTTAATTTTGTACAGTTCCAGTTTATTATCAAATGTTGTCAGATCAACGCATTTCCTCATGGCATATTTTATATGTGAAGCCATTTTTGCCGGATTAGCAAATATTATACGTGACGGATTCACTCCCAAGTCCAAAACTTTTTTTATCTCGGCCTTATTGAAATAATTTAATTATAATCATTAAATTAATATTATAGTTAAATGTATTTATTTTTTTAAATATCCTTACTTTGGAAGCACAATCAAAATTTATTCCAGACGCTGCCAAAATTTCTAGTACGAGGGAACTGTCGTTACTTTTCACAGCTGAAATGTATTTTCGAATTAATTTTACTCACAAATAACTAGTTTATAATAATAATTTAAAATTTAAATAATAACAAAATTAAAATAAATTATATATTTATAATATTATGTTTATGTTCTTATGTATATTTTGATTAATTTTATAAAACATATAGTATTTTGAACACAAGTAGACAAATATCAATATGCCAATCAAAACTACAATAAGCTCTTTTAACATACACACTGATCATTCAATAAATTATGTTATGAAGTTACTGAAATCAACTGATGAAAAACATGACTGTGGTTTGGAAAAATAATCAATAAATTAATGGACTACAAAAAATATTTCACTGATTTTATGAACTCATGGGATAGCCTAGTAATCTCATTTAATAATTTGCAAAAATGAAATGATTTGTTAAGATCTGAATTAAATAATTTGAGCGAGAAAGTGAAATTCATTAACTCTGTGGATCAAAATAAAATTGATCTTGTAAACAAAGTAAATGATAGATTATCTAGATCGTGAAGCGTTTTAATTTTTAATACTTTATTTTATTTGTCTAAGGTAAAAAAATTTGTGAAGAATCTTCTATTAAAATTTCTAATGTTAGCTATGAAAAAAAAACTTTTATAAATTTCTAACTACAAAATAATTTGACAATTTTAGAAATTTTGTAAAAATTTGAACTTTCAATGCATATAAAAAATAATCGTGCCTATGTACTAACTTGTAAAGAACCTTGCATTAAAATACAACACAAAATTCTTAATTCTAGTTTAATCTTTATTCTGAACATAATTTGTGTCTGTCCTTCTGTTAGTTACCATTACGTCATATAATTACAATTGTTTGCATTAAGATATTTACAGATTACCAAATTATTTTTAAATTGTTTTGGGCACTACAGTTGTATTAAAATACTTTTGGAAACCAGAAATTTAGCTCATTTAGAGTGAGCTTTCATAACTTGTTTATATATTGAATCTACAAAGAATCCAAATTAAGATATATTCAATACATACAACTATGGAAGTATTTGATGCATAGAATTTTGTATAGTTAGATACCTATGGCAGTAGCTGTTAATCAAAAAATAAAAATAAATTTAATTCTAAATTTCTATCTACATAGTTAAATAGTTATTAATTAATTTAATTACAAAACACAATATGACTGCTATATTTGAACACTAGAACAACACAAATAGTTCAATATTACTATTTATAACAACATTTTATTTGAATTACAATAGGTGAATTGTATTAAATCTTTAGACACATCACTTTTGGGAAATTATAATATAAATTAAATACATTTAAAAGATGTACTAATCATATCAACTTAAAATACTTTTGTTCATATTATTTTTAACTGAATTTATCACTGTTAGTCAAAATATGTAAGAATAGGTATAATTATATTTTTCTTTTTACTGTATTATTTACTACGGGCATTTTCTCCATAGCACCTATAACTAATATTACCTATCTTAAAGATTAAATATGAAAATATAAATAAATTAAATAAATATTAAATAAATAAATATTCATCCATACTCACCATAAAAAGGTTTTACACGTGGGAATATTTGCTGCCAAATTATTGCTTTATTCACAAGATCACCAATATCAAATATATAGAATGGATCTGATATGACCTACATAAATAAATAATAATTATCATAAAAAAATTAAATACAATTTAGTGTATCATCACAAAGTAACAATATAAGTAATAATTACATTTTTGCTAACTATATCCTTCATAATTTCTTCAACAGTCACTTTACTATCAATGATATGAATTTGTTCTTCTGATCTTAACATTCTCATGTTTATTCCGCTTGTATATCAGTATATTAGATATTATATTTAATCACCAAAAATGTTAGTGAATTGGAAAGCTATACTGTAATAATAATAAAAAAATATTGATTATCACTAAACATCTTCAATCAATAATTCAATTTTATTATTTAGTAAAATTAATACTATATTCAAGTTAAAAAAAAAGCATAGTCGGCAGCAACCAGTTTTTATCGGGCCGCAGTCAGGGAACACCCGTTCGTCACTCCCATCTAGTAAATTATCTGTATAACTGCTGTATAGTAGCGTACAAGTCAGCTGCCAACTACGTTTCTTAACTTGAACAAAGTATAGTAAATATAGATATAATAAATTTAGTGCAATAAATTATAGAAATCTTTGACCAAATACAACCAATAAAGAAACTAGGGAAACTTCCTTCGTAAGTACATATTTAAAAATAATGCATTGAATTGAGACACATTAAATATACTTAATTTAAAACTTGAAAATACAATTCATAAAAATATATAGGTACATACCTAAATAATATGTAATTCCCTAGGTATAAAATATTTATATTGTAAGGTGACACAGCACATTCTGCAATCGTCAGATGCTATATAATCGTTTTATGTATATTGTATGTTATAATTTGTGTGTATTTATACATTTTATTTACCAATAAACGATGACAGTAGAAGAGTAGTATTGTTCATACAGAGCATCATCTGTTGTCGGTTAAACAAAGAAAAAAAAAGTATAAAAAAGTGAATTAAATTTATTCATTTAAAGACATTATACTACTTTATCTAAAAATTAAATAATAATAAATTGTATTATCAATGAACAGGTAGTTACCTACTAATTATTATTAATTATTATCACTATTTAGCCATACCACAATTAAAGCATTGTATTCATTTAGATATTATCTACTTAACATGACTTTGTCATTGTAAATATTAAAAAATAAATATTTAATATAGAATAGCTGAATTGCATATAACATGTACAAAAAAAAGAATAATAGTTATAGCCGACTTAAATTCTCAAAACTAAATATAAAAAATGACAATATATTTTTTCCTTAAATATTAGACATAGGTAGGTAAATAGCATGCATTAAACAAATTCATAAGAAAAATGCATTTAATAATTTTGTAGTTATTTCATATTATGTAACTAAATAAAAAAAGTCAATCATATTAAAATGTATTAAACAAGCAAATATCTTATTTTGTCCTAATAATTAATATTTATTTAATTTACAAATCAATTAACACATAGGTATATTTTATAAGAAATAATACCACCCTTTCCAGAACATTATTAATTATATATTATTTAATTTCCAATCACTTAAAAATTATATTTGAATATTGTATATCTACCTAATAAATAGGATATTTTTATAATCTTATTAAACAATACTAAAATTACATTAAGAAGTAATGGTATCAACTACCTACTAAACATTTTTTTTTTACTTCTTTTAAATATATTACTTACGAGGCAGAATTGTAGTAATATTTTATTCAACTGTGTAATGTTCTATCACAATGTCAATAACACCGTGGTGGATCTACGTTTAGTCCAGATCGGCCATTCACTGTACTACAAGCGAGTCTTGTTGCACATCACTATACCAGTTGACACTAACCCTGTGAATTATATTTTATTTTTACCAACACATTTTTTCAACATTTAAAAACTAAATACAGAAATCTTGAATCTATTTTTTTTAATAATTAGGCCTACTCCTAATGTTATAGAAATTACTTTTATTTGCTTAATATAAAAATGAATAAACAAATAAATGTAATTAGAAATATATAGGACGTCTGGCTATAAGCCAAAGACGAAAGCTAATGGTAGGTAACTAAAGCTTTAGAATTTAGATATATCAGACTAATTTATCTTATCAGCACTTATAAATATAGATCAAAGGGCATTATTCAGTGAAGGTACCTATTAAATGAACTGTACACCTACTGGCACAAATTATAAAATGTATATACCTATTGAACATTTAATGATACTAGGTAATAATATGTAAACATAAATAACTATAAAAACATTTTTTTTTGATTTACCTACTTTTTAAATATTGTTTACTGTATTTTGAAATTTATTCATAAAATATAAAAAATATAAAAATTGTATTAAAATTGGTAGGTATTTAATATAGTAAAATTTATACTTATTTCAAAAAATAATATACACTACCGTGTTTTTTAATATACTGTCGAGAAGGAAATGAGCACCGGCTGAAAAATTGTAGGTTAGTTCATCATGGAACGTCAGGAACCCCGAACCGGAAACATAGTTTGATCGTGACCTTTTGTCATTGGTCATTTGGTCGGACATTTTAAATTGGTACGTACATGCAACAAGTATATCAATAAGACGCGGATTTAATATGGTTGATAAAATTTTAGAGGCGTCCACATTGCTGTGACCCGAACCATAACCGTAGTTTTATTATCATACAATGGAATACCACGGATACCATTTATACCGCTCGTTATAAATTAACTTATTTTAAATTTATTTAATATGCTACATACATTTTTTGAAATTTGTTTGATTTGAATATGTGATTGTCCGGTATAAAAACAATACAAAATGGCCATCTTACCCACACGGGTAGGGTTAATATAGTCAATCAATGTAAAGACATTATTAGACCTATATACTTTGACTAGAATTACCTATTTTACAATAGATACTTTTCCATTTGTTTTACTAAAATTGGTCTGAATAACATTTTATTACGTAGTCAACAGTGTCTACAGTGAATAGAATAATCTTTGTCGGGCAAAGTGGCTACCCGATTACTTTCCTGAAATTAAATAGGTACCCATTTAAAAAAAATACCATAGGTCTAGGAATTAATCTACACAACTGACCATATTCAAACAAATATGATTTGAAAGCTTAGAAGATTCTGATCATACAACAATAGACTGAATAAATATAATCGTAATAATTTTTTATCTATAGGTTATCAAAATTCAAAAGTATTGAATCAAAAAATCAAATATTAGAACGTAAACAGGTGTAACTATTGTAATAGCTAAAAATATGAGACTGATAATAGGTGACAACATCAGCAATAACAATAATGCTCGGCTCCTGCATGATTTCATTGCTATAAAAGGTACACCGTACACAGAAGAAAACTCAAATGGAAACTTTACAGGTGTCCTAGAGATCTGTGTTATAGATTCTAATGCCCTTCAAATTAAAAAAAAAATGTAATTTGGGTGAAGGCTGATATACCGTGTGTTCAATTTTAAAGGTAACAGGAAATATTTCGTTCGTGTGACATTGAATTTGAATCGGGGTTTTTATACTGCATATAGGACTTATAAATACATATTTTTTTAATGAATTCAAATTTTTAATTTTTTTTTTATCAGCGCATGCGCAGTAAAATAAAAATTTCTTAAATAGCAACCACTATTTTGGAGACCGGATTTCGATTTCTTTATTTTTTCTGAACAACTTTGATCTTTACAGTTTGTTGATATCTTCAAAATTGCCATGTTTATGACGGTCAGAAGTTTTAAAATAGTTAATTTGTAAATATTGCATTTTTCAACGGTCTATCTTAATTTATAGGTATTTATAGGTATTATTATAACAATTTATTTTTATTAAAACTACTAAATTATCTACAACTATTATCTTAATTTGTTTTTAATAGTATTATAATGAAAGTTATACTATTAACCTGTGTGAATAAGATATTTTGATAGCATTCTAAAATTGATTGTGAATAGTCAAACGTTTTTCGTAAGTCGCGCGTGAAACATTATTTTCTGTACAATGGCAAACTATTCCGAAAAAACCGATATGGTATTAATTTTTGGATAATGTCATAAAAATTCGCGTAACGCAGCGGCACTTTATGCTGAACGATATCCCGAGAGATATCATCCACCACACAATTATTTACGAATTAACTATTTTAAAACTTCTGACCGTCATAAACATGGCAATTTTGAAGATATCAACAAACTGTAAAGATCAAAGTTGTTCAGAAAAAATAAAGAAATCGAAATCCGGTCTCCAAAATAGTGGTTGCTATTTAAGAAATTTTTATTTTACTGCGCATGCGCTGATAAAAAAAAATTAAAAATTTGAATTCATTAAAAAAATATGTATTTATAAGTCCTATATGCAGTATAAAAACCCCGAATCAAATTCAAGGTCATACGATCGAAATATTTCCTGTTACCTTTAAAATTGAACACACGGTATACTCTGGGTATTAAAAAAATTAAAACAAATAATTACTGATTCCCCTGTACTCCAGTAATTTTGATTCTAATAAACCTATTTATATCCAATGTTCACTGTTTCACAGAGTGGGCTGGGCTGTTGCCTTTCTTTTGATATGCAGGTAGCTCATATAATTCACCTAATAATGTACTTGCGAGCGAAGTGAGCTTATTTTTTTTTCATTTGGGCCAGGGGGCCCCTTTTAATAATTTCCAAGTTGGCCAAAAATGGCATATCCGCCCATGGTTCATCTTGGTGTATTTAGCATAGTATTACATTTCACAGGCAATTTTGCAAGGGCCTTATAACACAGATCTCTAGGATTTACTCCTGTAAACTTTCCATTTGAGTTTTCTTCTGTGTACCTTTTATAGCACTGAAATCATACAGGAGCCGAGCATTGTTGTTATTGCTGATGTTATCACCTATTATCAGCCACATATTTTTACCTATTTACATTGCTTTTGCTTCTAGAAATTTGACCGAAACTGAAACTCAGTATCCACAAACAGAAAAAGAAATGCTAAGTAAATTATTTTCCTGTACCAAGTTTCACAATTGTATTAATGGTTACCATACTACTATGTGGACAGATCATTCTCCTTTAACTTCAATTATGATCTTATAGATTACATAAGATAAAACTAAAGCTACTAATACATGATTTAGAGGTCAAATATCTACCTGAAAAAGAAATGCATATTGCTGATCTTTCTACTATCGTAATATGAATAGTG